TGTTAATAATTTTGTGGCAGGTAGTGAAGAAGGAAATGTTTACACAGCAAGTAGGCATGGTAACAAAGGCGGAATAAATGATGGTTATGAAGGTAAATATCAAAATATTCCTAATTCGATTATTATAATCAAAACAACTGCATTACATTATCTTCTTGCAGGTCACATTGGACCAATAACAGGAGTTGATACGCATAAAGCTTCTGGCATTATTGATTTGTCGCATTTATTTTTATCATGTTCTTTGGATTGGACAGTCAAATTATGGAGTACTAAGGCAGTAATTATTGCCTTTAAAAAACGTTTGCACTAAAGTTTGGGAGGATTCTCTTAATTTGGAACAAACTTCCTTTTTCTTTTATTTTATTCTAAAATTATTTTTCTTAGTTTTGAATCGTAAAAGTGTTATTTATTTCATAAAAAATTCTTTGCATTTGTTGGGCAACAGTGGATACTAAATCAACATTTAAATTTTGTAGGAGACACGACCGATTTATTCATTCGAAAAACATGGCAATTATGTAACTGATGTTGCCTGGTCTCCTGTTCATCCAGCAGTTTTTACATCTGCGGATGCTAGTGGAAATGTAAGCTGTTAACAAGTATTCCATAATTTTATATCAGTATTTAAATGTTTAATTTTTTTTTCCATTTAGGTATTTTTATGGAATTTAAATGAAGACACCGAAGCTCCCGTATCACATTTGCAAATGGAAGGTGGTGTTGGAGTGCGGAAGATGAAATGGATGCAGAACGGTAAGATTACTTGCCTGTTATAAGAAGATTTAGAAGGTGGTTGAAGCCTTTTTTGTTGATACATTCAGAATACAAAAATTGTGATTAGTAGACATTTTTGTCATTTGGCATAATTCCACGATCTTTTTCTTTTATGGAACATCGAAAAGATTTTTCTGAATGATTGTGTTAGTTGACTGGTTTGAAGGCTATGGTAAGATTGTCATCTCAAGAATGATTATCTTGAATGATGCTGAACATGGCCAAAATTAGCAAATTTTGATCCATTTTTCACACAGCGACACTTCTGATTATAAGTGCCGATTGTATTTGCGGCTGGATACATATCTTATTGTTACACTGTCTAAGGCTTGATATAAAAACATATTTGTTCAACTTTATAATTTTAGGTCAGCAGTTAACCGTAGGTGACGAAAAAGGTAATTTGTACGTGTATGATGTACACGAAAATCTTACAAGCTGTCGGCCAGATGAGTGGTCGAAGCTGTCAAGGTATTTTTTAAGATGTCTTATTTAGTTGTAGAGTCTTTGGCTTTCGTGCTAATAATAGCTTTATATTACTTTTATAATTTATACATCTGTTATATCCAATCTGTTTGCAGATATGAATCCGAAGATTGATCTGCCTATTTAATGTATTCGTCTTTAGTTTTCAAGGAAAAATAAGTATCGAGATATGTTTTGATTTCTATTACATGTTGTAGAGCACTTCGTGATATCAGGCAGGCTAGCGAGGAAGCGGAAGAATTATCAGAAGCAATGAATAGTTATAATACATCTTCTATTAGTATCAGTTCGGGAACTAGTGGCGCAGTGGGTGTTACTGGCTTGTCACCAAGACAACAGTGGTAGTTGCTGATCTTCCAAATTAGTAAAATATCGCTTTCAGTTAGTGTGTTTATCTAAAGTATTTGACCTTGCATAATTAACTTATTGCGAATTTTAAATTTAAATGCTTAATGGAAACTGGCGTAATTTCTAACATTCGACCTTGGTATTATAGCAATCAACTAAATAAAATAAATAGAAATTTTGTTTCTGAGTTTTATAATCTTCATTTTTTTGTCGTAATGCTTTTCTCAGTGATTTGAAGTACGGTCGAATATTAGTACTTCTTAGCTTTATCGTTGGACAGTATACTATGCTTTTTCAGTGACGCATCTCGTTTGTCGCATGTAATCATCTTCTTTTCAATCTTTTTCGGCTTCTTTTTGAAATAAAATGATTTACGATGTATGTCTGGGAATAGTTTCTTTGCCCATTTGAAATCAATGCTTTCATATTATTTTAATTTCAATTGAACAAATTATTTAGCCTTGAATTTCAATACATTTTTTACATTCATCTTTCTCCTAGAATGACCAGAAATTTTGATTCATTTTCATTTTCTACATCTTCAAAAATTTAGAAACCGATTTTCCAACTGTACGGAAGTAAACTGTTTGCCCAAACAGCAATCGGGTTACGAACAAAAATAAAAAATTTAGATTAACAAACATTCCAATACTGTTTTTCTAAAAATAATTGAAGATTTATTTATTTTTGAATATTTCTTTGCCTTAAGGCCAGTAAGTGCGGGACGTTTTATCAATTTCAAATTTATTTCTTCACTATCTGTAATTTCATGAAATGAATATTGATCACCTAGCATTTCCGTTAAAGATAAACTATATTTATCATTCATTTGTGTCGCTTTCACTGATTATTTTTGTCAGTATTAATACAAATGCAAGCTTTATACGTTTTGTTATGCAAGACAGACATTTTTACATGGCTTCCATTTTTTCATTGTTTTTGCTTCTAATCGAGACATTCTAACGGTCATCTGAAAAATCTATTTTCCGGGGTGAAGCTCAAAACAATGAATCAGTGTGGAAATGTAGGCAAATAGATCACTGTTGGTTATTTATGACATATTCTTGGAGTCCATTTTCTCCTTTGATTTTCAATAATAGAGGGAAGATTTAGCTCAACTGTAGTAATATGCAGTCTCTAGGGCAACTGCTTACTTCTATCTTTATGTGTACGTTAGAACTGACTAAAGTTTTCACTGATGATATTAATTTTTGCAGAAATTTTTAAATATTTTATGTTTCTGCTCAGATATCTAGTGGCAAGTTCTTGAATTTTTCCTATTCTTCCATTTAAAAGTCGGTGAAATTTGAATAATGCCATTGACCGATAGGTTATCACAAGACACTTGTACCAAATATGCTCAGTAGCTGTGCTTTTGTGACATTTTTTCCGTCACCACTGTAAAAAACTAGTGACAGTAGATGAAAAAATTGTTTGCTTTTCACTTTATAATGCTCGATTACTTATTTACGATTTGAACAAAATGTTGTCTGTTTCTAAGCCATATTTTTTTGCTGTCAGCACATTGCTGTCGGAATCATCATAAATGTGTTTATAATATGCTTCTGTATTTACTTTATCAAATGCTATCCTGAATGATTATTTTCCTGAAGTTGCCATGATTATCTGAACATATAATCGATCATATGTGGCTATCCCATGTTATCACTTTTGGCTTGTTTTATCTACATACCCATCAATAGTTTTGAACACTGACGATTTATTTTATTTTTTTTATTGAAAAAGCACACGATGCAGTGTTTTTGCATGTCTCATGCTTTTTAAAATACACCTTCCATCTTTGAAACTAGCAAGCGTTATAACTACGAAGATAATTTGTGCCAATTTAATATTCATGATTACCTTCGCGTTTTTTTTACTAAATAGTCTTGTCGCTTCATTTTGACAGGTTTTTCTTTGGTCTATAACATTTTTGTGAATGCTCATGGTTCCAGATAAATCAACAGTCTTCATCTTCGAAAATAACATCTTTCGTAGTGGCTTCTACAGATTAGACCTCAGTTCCGCAGTATTTATAAAGAACTCATTTTTATTTGATGATATAAGTGCGCAGAACAAAAAACATCAATATTAAGCACAACTTTTTATTCTGAATTCTAGACTATGGTACTTATCTGGAAGTTGATTTTTTTTAAAGCAATAGACAAACAAATATTTAGCTGGAATTAAATATTTGTAACCTGTTGATTTCTTTGGACATTACTCTAAAGTAAATATAACATAGTGAATTCAAAAAGAATGTTTCCCCACGACTAGCGTAGGAAGTTTAAATCCAAAATTGTTATTTCTCTGGTCTTAATGTAACCGTACTGAGCATCAACACTAAATTTGGTTATATAATGTGCTAGACTGAGCGCAACAATTTTTTGAGTCTCAAAATGGATCACACGATTAAATGAATTGTTATTGTTACAAGACCTTCCAGGTTAAGCAAACAAGAACAAAGACCGATGCCGATATGTCCCACACTTCCGGATGCCGCATTTAGCGAACTAATTTGCTAGGTTTTATTCCGTTCTAATGTTACATTGTATAAATCTTCAAATTATTACCATCTCTATGCTTTAAATGTCTTATTTATACGGTTGACACTTTTGCAGTCTACGTTGCCAATATGGTCTTAATCTTCAAATTTCCATATTTTTTCGAAGACTCGAAGACCGAAGTCGCATCAAGAATTATCAAGACCGCTTCTTCTTCTTTTACCCAAACTAATTCACAGTTTACATGCATATAATTAATTCACAATTCCTTTCATTTAAATGCATAGAAACTTTTGAATAATTTCGAGAAACCCTATCTAACATTTATAGTTAAGTTACATCAACACTTTCCACCTAAGGCATTTTAATGATTTATTTCATCACTAAATACAAAATGAGATGACAAACATATTATTAAAACTCTTGCGAATAACTGACTGGATTGTATACAAAAATAACCTTAGATCCATAAAATAAAGCTGGTAAAGAGCGGATGAAGGTCGGCATTGCCATTCCGCTTTGTTTCACATTTGAATTCTTGCTTTCCGTTCTACAAAGAAGGGAATGCGTGATGAATGTCATGAATCCTTTACAAAATGATTATCTATGAATATTATCCACAAAGTTTTATCAATAATTCTCCGAGATATCACAGTATTAAAACCATCGCGTCAATAAGAACCGCCATGCTGCTTATATGAAGTCATATCTGAAAATAATTTCGGTTTTCGAAAAAACATTCACAAGATGATTCAAGTGAAGTAGTGAGGGACAGTAAAAATCACTTCAACTGAAGAGAGAGTAGTGAATCTGATTAATTTTGAAATTATAATAACAATTGGGAATAATTTGTGCTAGTGTCCAAGTCTGAAATTACCATGCAGATTAGTTGTTCGCAGGAACTTTTGGTAGGCCGAATTCATCCACTGCAATACCTTCTTCTGTCACCTACAATGTGATTGCTTATAAAGCTTGTAGCATACATCTATATCATCATAAACAGCAAAAATTAATATTTTTACACTAACCTTGCTTTCGTATCCTGGTTCTTTGGATGGCACGCCTGGTGCATTCAACGCTTCGTCTAAATAAGAAGTATCTACATCTGCTTCAAATTCATCTCCCAAAGCATCAAGCTCAGCTTCTAAATCAGCTTCATCAATCTAAAAGAAGAGAACTTTTGATACTCCAACGAAAAAAACTTTTGAAATACCAAACGAAAGAAAGCGAAACCATAAAATAAACAAGTCAAAAACTTTACATCTGGCGTCTCGTACTGCCGCGACATAGCATCCTGAATCTCATTATTCATATCAAGCATTTCCTCCATCTCATCCTGGAGTTTATCAATTTTGTCGATGTCCAACTTTCTGTATTCTTTCTGCATGGTTTTCAAACCTTGTTTCATGGCCACTACGGTAGTCTACAATGTCAGAAATTATGTTATAAAATCGAGCACAAATAATCAATTATAATTGTCTCAATTCCGCCTTGGCATGTTGATAAATAGTAATGTTCAAATAATGGCTAAGAAATATCAAAAGTGATACTTAAAACACAAAGAAATCCTTTTGATGAATACTGAAACAAAGCCAAATCTCAGAGAAAGATAGAAGCTTACCTGCGTATCTT